GACCCGAGAACTCTTGGCATTATCCAAGTGATCATTCTCAAACTTGCAATTAAAAATGTCCTTACAGTCGAGGATAGAACAGAAGAGACCCACTCATCTGTGCCTGATAAAATTTGAATTATTTCCTTTGTGTACCTCATGAGGAAATTTGAAGCCCCCCCCCCCCGGGCGCGTGCACGCAAAAACACATCTTCCAACCACACACACCCATATTTTATATTTTGCTCCATTGTGGTTTATTTCACACCTCAAACATTTAGTAAACATTTAAGCAAATACAAGTAATCTGCAATAAATTACAGGTAGTAATGAAATAAACTACTAACTCTAAATAAACTAACTAACTTTACGCTATGTCCGCACCTACACGGCTTTTTGAAAACGCAGCTGTTTCGTCCACACGTAAACGGCATTTGGAATCACTGAAAACTGAGGTTTTTAAAACTCCTCTTTTGCGTTTACGTGTGGACGAGGAATACAGAGTTCATCACACAACGTCAAAGGTATGTGCCTTTTTTCACGTCACGCTGTGCGCCACATTATTGTTTACATGAGATGAATTGCAGAATGGGAGATAGAGACAAAATACTGTTACTCTGACTAGTTGCAGGTTTTACACGCATACATATAAACACGCAGTTACTGTCCCTCCATTTAGAAAGGCAGAGGCGGCACGGTGTGATTATTTTACGTGCAGTTGTTTATTTCCTGTGTAATAATATTCAACATTGCTTCGTCTCTTGCTCTTGACGAAGGCGGTCTCCTCTCCTCCTTCTCCTCCTCTCCCTTAGCCTCTTGTGTCCTTGTCTAGTCTCGTGTTTTTTGTATTACTTTTCCCTGGAACACTCTCTCACAGTCTGTTCTCTAAAACCTAAAAGAGGAATTATGGATGTGATCAACTTGTCCCTAAATGTAATCCACATGTAAAAGGAACAGTTACATTTCTTCTAAATGCACTTTCAGCTACAGTTTATTTGCAGCTATACAAAGAGAAAAATACATGAAAACTCATCATGATACCATCATAAATAAGACCATATAAACATAGTTTTCATTTTAAGTTTTGTTGTAATGATATCTGTTTTTATTTGGCTTTCATTGGTATTCATTGTTAGTTTTGAACTACGAAGATTTTGGTATTGTTTCTATGATTGCAGCTGCATTTGGTAGTAGTGACGATTTTTTACCTTTTGTTTCTACCATTTTTCATGGATCAGTCTCCTCTCCAAAGTCCTTTTCTTTTTATCACATTTTACTTTATGCGTTAGACATTTACCTTTTTAGATTTTCTCTCTTTCATTTTGTTAGCTATTTGTCCTTTGTGCTTTGTCTTTAGAATTGCATCCTCACTCATTACCTTCAATTATTTTCAACTTTTTTTTCCAAGGTGTTTCTACTCGCCCTGATTAGAGAAAGCATTCGTTTGTTATCCCGCCTTGTT